TGTGGCTCTTGTAGTTATTTCACATTAATATTCTCAGAGCTGTTTAAACCAGAACATTAAAAAATAGCATTTGTTACACTCTCATGAGACAATGCATCCTTTTTTTCTGCAGTCTGCTAAAGCATTTAATCAGTGCCGATTAAAAGACTGACATTGTTGCAGGTTCTAACTCTTAAGGGAACCTAAATAAACATTTCCATATGTCTGCTCTAGTAGTAACATGTCTCCTCACTTCCTTGTGCTTTCTCCAACCCCATAGACAGAACAAAAAGCCTGTTGTTTGAGCCCATATTCATAATTAATATGTAACTCAGCAGTTTCTCTCGTATCTTTGCAGAGAATGTGGAGGAGAGGGTCTCGTATTGGTTGAATCTTACTTCTCTTCAGGAGTCTGAGGTGATTCTCACATCTACGTTTCACTTCTTTTTTGACAAACGGTCACGCCAGAGGTCCTGGTTCTGCAAGCGCTTCAAGAACCCCTCTTGTCGCATCCCGAACCTACATCTGCTACCCTCTGTCCATCTTCTTTTCCGGTCTCCCTCCTTCAGCTCAGCCCCAGGATCTCTACTCGGAAACGTCACTGTAGTTCCTCACAGACGTGGGACCTGGCAGAGCAAGGATGTGTCTGTCATTATAAAGGAGGCCCGAGATAAGAATCACCTTTTGATCACCGTGGAGTTTGACTATGGAGAGCAGTATCAAAGGTATCAGGACCAGCTCCCGTCCTCCAGCCTTCCATACTTGCTGGTGTACGCTAATGACCTGGCAATTTCCGAGCCCAACAGCGTGGCTGTGAGCCTACAGAGATATGATCCTTTCATTGCAGACCAGCAGCCAACTCAGTCTCCAGACTCCTCACCTGACATACGTATGAAGCGGGAACTGGACTTGGACTTCTCTGATCCCATTGAGAACAACGAGCTCCCAGAGGTGGAGTACAACAGCTTCAAACAGCACGATATGTGGGAAAGCGCTTACTTTGCGCTCAAGCCAAAGCCCTTTAAAAAAGAACGTCGGAGGAAAGGCCAGGAGCATGTTGATGGATTCGGCAAGTCTCAGGTTCTCCGGTTTGATGAGAAAACCATGAAGAAGGCTCGGAGGAGACAGTGGAAAGAACCTCGCAGCTGTTCCAGGAGGTACCTGAAGGTGGACTTTGCAGATATCGGGTGGAACGAATGGATCTTGTCTCCCAAGTCTTTCGATGCCTTCTACTGTGCAGGAACATGTGAATTCCCCATTCCAAAGGTCAGAGAACCTCATGGCGAGGATCAGCGTATGCGAATGTGAATTGTTTAGACATGTTGAAATATTTAAAAATGACTATGGTTAAAACAGCTTTTCTAGCCAGAGGTTTTAAACAAAGAATCCCTTCAGAAAATGTTTCGGTTCCAGCACAACTAAAGCACACCGACTTTATGTGCAATTACAGTCAAATAATTGTACGCTTAATAGGGGTTTTAAGCACATTTTGGACACATTTTCTTTTGAAATGAGCCAGTCTTACAGTTCCTCTGTTCTGAATAATAGAAGGGTGTTGAAAGACATAATTCTCTCTGCTTCATTGAAGAAAGCAAAACAAAAGTTGCATATCTAAACGCTACCATACCTCATTATCCTCTCTTTTCTGCCCTTTTCAGGTGGTCCGCCCCTCCAACCATGCAACCATCCAGAGCATAGTCAAGGCCGTTGGAATAATTCCAGGTATCCCAGAGCCCTGCTGTGTCCCAGAGAAGATGAAACCCCTCAGTGTACTATTTCTGGATGAGCGCAAAAACATTGTGTTGAAGATCTACCCCAACATGTCTGTGGAGACGTGCGCTTGCAGATAGGCTCGCTGGTCACAGGAAAGAAAGACAAATGGGCATTGTTGTGGTTTTGACACCCAAATTTACCTTGAAGAGGCATATTGTCTTTAGTTTGCACTTGTTAGAAAGTGCACACATTTTTAAGGACTGCATTTCATTTTTTATAAATGCTTACAAGTGATATTTTAATTTCCTCTGTTTATCCACAAAGGATCTGTCGTAAACATTTTTCATTGTACTAGTTGAGTAACATAAGCACTTACTCTTAAAAATATTCCTTATAAATTGTCGGCTTTGCTGTCATCTCTATGACATAAATGGTTGTTGGACTCATGTTTGTAGATTACTGGATGTACGATGAGGTTTTATAGCATATTGAATATAACAAACCTTTTTTTGGCAGAACTGTTGAATTACATTGGAAAGTGAATTAGAATAAAGAATTATTTTATTATTCAGATGAATGTTGTAGTTACAGGTTAAGATAATGTCTTGGTGTTCATTAGAAATCTAAGTGTAACTTGGTATTTGGGTCATTTAAAAGTATAAATGATGAAGTACATGTGAAAAGTGTGAACCCTTTAATCTACATCAAACCATTAGTGCGACTGCAAAGCAGTCTTGTAGTAACTAATCTGAACTAATCTTTTGAAACAGAATTTAAAAGATCCCAAAAGGTGGAGTGTTGCTAATCGCTGAAGTCACTGATGGCTAGTGCTGACTCGTTTTTCCTGTGCATTTGTTTTATTTTAAGAGATGTTACACAAGGTTCCTTTTTTGTATTCTGACGCATTTGATGATCTCAATTTGGTGCCGTAAGCAAGGAGTATTTCGGCCAAATGTGTCAGTGTGTATAAACAATTGTTCATTTGGAATCAGTATATTATATTTTAGAGAATGTATTTTTGTAAATGTGTGTTTTAAATTATGAAAACTAGCCTTATAATAAGTAGAATAAAATAAATGTTAAACCACCAGCTTGTATTTTCTGCTGCATATTTCTGCATTGTATGTGTTCATATTCTTCACTTAACGAAGAGAACGAATAAAGGAATAAGAATGTCTGGACAACTAGCATTGACATCAGAAACCAGCCTGGTACATTAGTACTTTAACCGGACATCAAAGACATCTCTAACCCCCAGTTCCCACCTTCAACCCACTTCAAGAGCATCAGGTCTCAAAGTGCAGGACGTTCCAACTCTTACTTCAACAGATAATGTCACCCAGCTCAAACTAATTTGAAGTAAACCCTTTTAATCCCACTTGCCCGTGAATGAAAACGAGAGAAGCGTGTTCTCACAGAACAGAACCCAATTACTGTCTGCTGTGTCTTTCCTTTGTGCGAGTTTGAGTGTTGAATGGCTTCTCTGTGCAGTGTGTAAAAAGAGACACTTGAACTCAACATGTTTGGTTATGTAGCCTATAGACTGAAGAGATGTGAATGTGTCTGCTGCTTTTACTATTTATCACAACAAATGTAAATCCAAAAACATTAAAAAACTTATTTTATAGTAAACCAGCCTAGTTTGTTGGTTTAAACTGGTCGTCCACAAACCCCCTAAAGCCACCTGACCAGCAAACCTCGGATAGGTAAAACTGTTTTTAAGTAGCCTAGAGTTATCAACAACTGACTAATTTATTAGCATAGAAATTTGGCGGCAACCAAACTGATGAGATGATCAATGGTCTCCACAGTAATCAAAAGCTGTTTTCCTCTCTCAGGTTAGTTTTGACAGTGTTAGCATGAATGAGGTTTGTTAAACTGTAGATCACTTGGTCTCCCACAGAGACCATAAAATAACAGAAGAATGTAAGAATGTAACGCCAACATCCACTAAAGCTGCCCAGAAACACTGAGGGAAACTCTCAGGTGAATCCCCTTTAGGCAATGTTTAGTTTCCTGGGGAGCACTTTAATATTTAAATCAGTTGTATAGGACACCAGAGGCTTCGTCAAAATGTAAATACTCAACAGTTACTGAAAACCAATGTCAATATTTAGTTTTCCAAATGAGGCCTGATCAATTAATGGCAGTGATGAAAGATGCTCTTTAGAGCGAACAGAGGATTTTCTGTGTGTATGAAATGACTCTCTCTTCAAGTGATTACCGTCAGGAACAGGCCACTGGGGCTTTTAATTGCACCAATATTAGGCCAGTGTATACACATATTTTCATTCAATCTAATGTCTTCAGAAGTTTAGTATTTACTTTATTGAATGAGCAGAATGTTTATAGCTAAATACAGATGGGCGTCCTTTTGAACTTCGCAGTAAGGTCAAAACTTGTGGCGTTCTGGTGAACTTCCTCAGTGTTGAGTTTATTACCTATGATTGTATGCCTATAATTTAACGGAGACTTGCATGGGGCTTTAATTAAAAAAAAATCAATGTGAACACAACGCCATTCTCACATTACAGCTTTGGTAAAGTCATGAGGCTTCGGGGACTTAAGAATGATTAGAGAGTGCACTCTACCGGTCACTCAGTGTTAGTGCATGTGAGTGTATGCACGCCACTGTTTCAAAAACTTACAATTATTTAAATAAAATTAAAATGCAAAAATGGTCACCCGCATTATTTCTTAAAGAAAGTCAGCATTTTTAAATACAATCTGACACTTTATCTTCTAAACATACTTCTTAAAATTAATTTAAAACTACATTGACTAGACAAAACTACATTGAATTAGATTCATATCAGTGTCACTGTTCTCTAAAAGAAAGTAGTGTTTTATATTTTCCATACTTCTTCATGGCTAAAATCAGAGGCAAACACCTGGGGAATATGCTCAAAATCTTTAATGAAATACAATGACTGTACTTATCTCAAAAAAGAACAGAACAAGAAAATATTTAAATAAATACATCCTCCTTGTCGTTGTGCTGATAAAAAAAAAATGTTAAAAGAAGTAGACATCTGAAAAGAACATTGTAACAAAGATGTGGCATTCTGAAGGGATGGATATTTCAAATATAAAATCTCTTTACAAAGCAATGCTATTAGTTCATAATAGTTTTATTCAGCTGTTAGCAAACCTAAAAATGCTGGAGCATTTCATTCAACCGTTTTTCAATAGCATTTACATGTACTCATTCTGACATTTGTAAGGCACTGTTAAGTTGAAAATGACCAGGCAGTTCAACAGTATTAGTCACAACTAATGTACTAGGTATAGCTACCTCTAAAGAGAAAGATATTCATGTCTATAGCCACCTAGTGGCGATGTAGGCCTATCCTGAATTGCACTACCAAAGACCACCATTTCAAAGACTACATGAATGGTAAATGGTTGAAAGGTTCAAGTTTTTAGTCGGTCTGTAATGTATTGCTACAGAAAAATACTTCCCCTGTCCAATAGCAACCAACCCAGTTAACAGAAAATGTTCTCGGAAACATTCTGGCAACTTTTTCTCAGTTTGTTATTGCCTATACAGACAACGTTCTCAAAACATTCTGGCAAGGTTCTAAACGTTCTTCCACAGTTCCAGTAACGTTAATAGAGAGTTTACTAAGTTATCTGGTCTTTAAAGTTCTCAAAACTGGAATGTATTAGCTGGACGTTTTTCCTGGAGTGTTTTCGAAATGTTTTAGCTGGACGTTCGTCTAACTACGTGTTTTAAAATGTTCAAAGAACAATCAAAAGTAACATTAAATGTTTGCAATATGATCAAATGGAACGTTCCCTTAAGGTTCGTATAACTAACGCTTTTCAAATATTTAAAAGATTTAACGTTTCTTATATTTAGAGAACACTAAGAAATAACATTTTCATTACTCAATGGGGCCGTTAGCAAAACGGTCTTAGAACATATTTTTGTCAGCTGGGTAACTACAAGGGACCATCACAGTATAAATGCATAATTTATGGTCAATGCATCTTAATTAGGCTACTTTTATATAGGCTACCTGGTTAAAGTGCGATGGAGCTTTTCTTCTTAATTATGTGATGTCATGTGACGTGAGAGGTGGTGCCGCTCTCGAAAGTACTCGTGACAGATGGGACAGGTGAGTTTCTCCTCTCTTCTCCTCCTCACCTGAGCCTCTGCGGCGAACTCTTTCTTATGATGGGACCGCATGTGAAACACCAAATCGGAGGTCATTCGGAATGAGAGGTTACATTTGGCGCACCAGTTCTGCACTGAAACACCCAATGGTGTGAAAGTGGGGGGTAGAAGTGTGAAAGAAGATGTGGACTGCAGCTGTCCTCCTATAGATCTGGTCCAATGCTCGGGCGCGTAATAAAAGGATCCTCCTGAAGCCAGAGGAGCGGAGATCACTCCACCTGCATGAGCGCTTGTCAAGTCAGCGTGAAACAGGTGCGAAGCCAATACATTTCTGTATCCTAGTGAAGGTTTTGATTTGAAAGAGTCTGAGATATTATCCGAATCTGGTGGTGAAGAATTCAGAACTTCGGTGATGGTGCGTTTGTTGGGTTCACAAAACGCGCTCTTCTGTTCCGAGTGCGCGCTCTTGGGTACAACGAACGAGAAGGCGCTGCAGTCGGATTGCAGGCCTACTTCAGACACCTTTAGATCCCGTGATGACTGCTCTGGTGGTTTCTGAACCTCGGTAAATGCGCTGCTTTTACTTATCATTGACTCATTTGTTGATAATTTGTCTGATTCTGACAACTCCTGGAAAGGTGGACAGTCTTTGTGGATGTTGGCGATGTTGCTGTGATTAGTGATGTTGGTTTTCTCTAATAAAACCGTTTTTTTGTTCCGGGGACTTAGGGAACCCTCTTGTTTTCTTTTTCTAGGTATGCCCGAGTCTTCAGGAGAACCGCTCATTTTGTGCTCTAGATCTCTTGCAATGTTGTGAAAATCTATGATTTTGCGTTGTCGCTTGACTTCTGGTTTCTGTTCGTTGGTTGGTCGGATAATATCTACTTTGTCCTGCGCACATAAAAAACGGCAGTGGGCAAGGAAAGGATTTTCATTCTTGAAGGCCTGGCCGCATCTCGTACATGTGTAGCCTGCATATGAAGATACAGACGCTGTCAGACCTCGATGGTAATAACAATATTAGGACACTTAACATTTAAGCAACAATTCATTTACAAAAATTTCTTTATAAATTACATTTGCGTATTAAATACAAATTTTGGTAATAATGAATAAGTTGCTGTTTTATGCATCTTATGGACATTTTTTGCCAAATATTCAGGGTCTAAAGGGATCCTCTGTGTTCAGTGGTTTTCTTGTCACATGACAACAAAACGGCTCCATGCATATATTTGTTTTTGTATAAAAAAATGTATTTTTTTTCTCAAATATTAATAATTTACAAACCAAAAATGTACAGGAAAATTGCTTAACTGTTAATTAATACATATAAAATACCAAAGTACGTTTGCAAATGTTTTGAAGAAGTGCTATTCCTATTTTATTTTTATAGATATGAATATGACCTATGAATGAACATTCCATGACATTGTTAACCAATTTGAAGGTACATTCAATTAAAATTATTTCATTCACATATTACTTAAGCATTAAATAATGATTTTATTCCATTAAAAAATCATTGAAAGCAGCCCATACTCACCATCTGTCAGGGCTTTTGTCTTTATGTCTTCAAACCCCAAAAGATGTGACAACTCCTCGTCATACCAAACAAGCAGTTCTTCCCCTTGTTTCACATCTCGAATAGTCCGAAAGTGCAGCTGTCCTCCTTTCAAGTAGGCCTCAGTATTCTGGTCTTCTGCGCTCATTGCAGCCTGTACTAACCGTAGCCATGGAACTACTAATGGAGACCCTTTCATCGCCTCAGGATCTACCTGTTGATAGTGGGAGATATTTTGATATTAGAGGAAATTAAATTTTTACAGTAAAATAGTTAACAATTTATCTTTTGCAGTGTATAGTGTATTACAAATGACATGTCTGGATTATGCATGTTTCATTTACAGCACAAGACACTTTTTGTAAATCTAGTCAAATTCTGCAGTCAAAAATAAAAATGCAGTCTAAATCTAAAATCTTACTCACCCGAAACACATATGATTTATTCCATTTGTCAAAGGACTTCAATGCAATGAAGGCTATAGTGTCATAAAAGGTATTATGAAGAACACAAGGTCCAAATGATGTTCCAGCTGGTATATCCTGTGTAACTTCTACACTGGTGAAGAAGCCCGTGACATGGTGGTGGAGAAATTTGCTGTCATTAGTCCACAAGGAGCGAGGAATAATACTTTGCTCCATGTTTTATTCCTGGAAATATGAATTTAAATGATGAAAAGTTCAAAAGAATAAGACAAGTACATGTTTCCATGCTTAAATTGGATTAATGGAGCAACCTGGATTTTTAATCACCTAATGCTTTTATTATCAGTTTTTTTCTAAAACACAGGGACATAGGAAATATATTGCCATGCATGCAATTAGTTCGACTACTGAAAAATAAATAAATCGGTCTATGTATGCAAAATAGATTGGTAAATCAGAACTGTTCAGTTTTTCTTTTCTTTTACGTTTGGTTTGATGTTCTTTAGACTGTAAATAGCGTTTAAATCCGTATAGTCAGCTAGCAGGCATTTTGTATCAAATGGAATATCTCACAAAATTAGCCTATATGCAGTAAAATTGCTACTCACGTATAGCAGGTTTGGTTTGAGGATGTTCCGTAGCAGGTGCACAGTCCAAGGAGACGCGATGTGCAATTATCCACAGAGAGCACGCGATCACGACCGTCTCCTGATCCTGACAGTCTCTTGACTGTCTCTCGTGCTGCGCAGTCACGCACTTATCCACGCCGAGGACGCGGAGCTGATGCGCCTCATTTCTCCCCAAACCCCCCCCCCAGGTGGCAATTTGATTGGTGCTTCGCCAGCTTTGCATGCGTGTTAATTAGAAGCGAGGGTAATCAATGGCAGAAGTCAGAGACCGTTAGATTGTGATGAGTATAGCACAAAAGACTGTATGCTCATTCTGTATGCACATTTAAAACGAATCCTATAACCCAAAGACATTATAAGTAGAACATGTCGAATCACAATTCAACTGTTAGATTTTGTGACGATTCTCCAAACATGTAAACTTTTATGTAGCCACTTGGGTTGACTTTTAAAGAAAAAATATTTAATTTATAAAATTTCTCATTTTTAAGAGTGTTTTAGTGATTATTTGATTAGGCTATTTTATTTCAGAAAAAAGTATATCTTCAAAAATGTTTCACTTTACTCGTTATTTATAATGCTTAAGATTTGAATAACAGAATATCAAATAGAATTTACGGAATTTCGTTGAAGCCAAAATTCTCCCTCTCTCGGAAAGAGGAAGTTTCAGTAGCTGTTGGCTGCCTGCTCGCCGTCCGGTCTGTGGTCGCTCCTCCAAACATTTCTCCTTGAGGAGGAGCTTTTAGTGTTTTGGAAGCGGACTCAGATGACAGCGGGATATAAACTGTGACAAGACATTCAAATATCTTTTTTGAGGAATAAATTGCATGGAAAAGAGTTGCTTTTCTTTTCTGCAGGAATAATATGAAATGCAATTTTATCCCAGTGCTTTTGGAGAGAATAAACTGATGAAATGGCACGTTCACTGATTCACACGAGTCTTGTTGTGGGTATTTTAGTGATTTTGATGCCCAGTCTTCATACTGGAGAAGGCGAGCCTTATTTTGAGGACGACAAGAGGTCTTGTCAAGGTGCTTTCGACTTGTATTTTGTCCTCGACAAGTAAGTGGCCTTCATGTTTATGGCATCTTTTCCTCCTCTCACCGCGCACTGCTGCGCGACGCCTCTGACGCTCTCAGACGCGCTTGCACTTCTATTATAACAACAGTCATTCGCTTAGACAGCCGAATAACAGAATTGAATTGATCCAAATGCTTCAACATGAAACAATTCATCAATATTTTTTAAATGGATAATAATTTCTAGGTATATTCTATCAGAAAACGTCTGGCGAGATATTGTGGGAAAAGAACTATTCCCAAAGGAGACCAGACAAGGATGCATATGGCAGGATGCACTGACATGAAATTCGAGCAAAATTCCTAACCATATAAACAACGAACCATTAACTATCTCTACAGAATTAACACACAATGCTGCTTATACTTTTTCTGATGGTTGATTCCTGAAGTTTTTGTCTAGTGTTCTGCGGCACATAGGAGGACAGGACTCTGTGCCTCGGGCGATGCTTTAACAAGCATGATTTTCTCTCACCTGGTGCGGTTCACATGCACATTTTGTGCATCATTATCTCAGGGGCGTCTCAATCATAAAAGGCAAATAGAGACCTCATCACAAGAGCATGCACTATTAGTTAGCTATACAAATACCCTTTTATTAAAAAAAATAGGGTGTGTCAAGATAGTTAAAAATGCATTTACTGTATTTTATTCCTTGCAACTTACAACTGCAGGCAGTTGTTTACATGTAATGTTAGTAGAATGCAAATAGTTATTTATATTTAAGTGTGTAATGAGTGTAAGTGGCATCCTAGTACTCCTAATTCTTTAGCACCTTGGAATTGTGAATACCCAAACAAGCTTAAACATGCTGGAGCATGCTATAGAACGGTTATAAATTAAGAATTTTTGAGGCCATCAGATTTTAGTCAAATATAAGGTAAAGCTCAAGAGCAACATACAGTAGCAATGCCTGTACAGTTTAGACAATAATTTTGCTCATTTAGTGAAATCTGAATATTAATTCCACAGAATATTAAATCTGAAGGAATCCAGTTTAAGATCTATTACAGAACAAAATTTGGGATTTTAGCCATAACCCTTTGTTACTGTGTTAGGAAGGCGCAAACGCATATTAGTTACACTTCACAGTTCGCTCTTCTGTTTGAAAGTTTTCTGAATGCCTTTAGAGACCTAAGGGAATGCATGCATCATCAGGCTTTTGCCACACTTCCACACTTTTAATCAGCTGAATGGTTCTGGCTGAATTTTCGAGGCCTTAAATGCCACTCAGTGACCCTACACTAATTGTAAATATCAGGCCATCGGTTCAGAGAGTTTTGGAAAGAAAAGCAGCTCCATTGCTTTTCAGAGAGAAAATACCTTTGATTATCAGTGGAACGAGAACTAGTTTTATGCCACTATATGTGACTCCTTTTAATTTACGGCTCCTTTTAGATCGTTTCTTAATATAACGATATTCTGACTCAGCGGTTTGTTGAAGATTGATGTTAGTTTGGAGGATAAGAGATAAAGCCAGGATCAAGCTGCATCAAAGGAAATCAGAAAAGTCTTTTTATTCTAGACTGCTGCATACCAGCACAATGTACTGAAATTGAATGACTTATTTCAGTGACCCTAAAAAGTATTTAGACACTAAACCACACTTAAAATGTCTGAATGTCATTTCATTGTATAACAAAATATCAAATGTATGTGTCATCTGCAAACACATTATGCTAGACCTTGAATTAACTACTTTTTGTTGCCATTTTACTTTTTAAACCTGTTGGTCTTAAGGTGATTTGGATGCATTAGGATATGAAGTCAGTTCCCCTTTTGTACAAACCGGTACAGAGTAACTAGTTCATCCGATTAACTATGGATATTTTCCACGAACATCTGAAAGCCAGAAAGTTTCCAATTGTTTGTTTTTTTCAAACAGTTGGTTGCAGTTGGTTTCATATTCAATAATCTAATGCAGATACATATTTGGGGTATTTTTTATTTAAAACTTTTTTTTTGCAAGTGTGGCTCAAATGTTCATTTTGGAACCACAGTATATCAATATATAAAATTGCAGGTGTGTTTAAAACTGACAACAGATTAGCATTGATTGCTGCTGTTACTGTTGCTAGATCCACATGTCCAATTTTATGTTTCCTGACCCCCTGTCAGAGATGGAGCTGTGAGCCTTTTTGGATGCTGATGTAGATGCCAACTCTATTTTGGATCCCAACCTGTTACACTCACCCATTGCCATCTGTTCCCATTCAAATGACTGGCTCCAGGAGGAAGGGGAGTTGCTCTCTGCTAGCAGGAGGCAGATTCATCTGGCACAAAGGCAATTAGCCCTTGTTGGGAACGCTTTGGGGCCTGTAATTAATTAGTGGCATGTGCGCATTTTATGTGCCCAGTACTCAAGGACCTGCTACTCTTAGATAGTGTATGAAAAGATGGTAATTGTTATGTAATTGTGTTTAAGGCAGCCATTATAATGCACAGAAGCCTCTGACTCTTTGAAGCATGCAGTTTTTCAACATATTTGATTTTATTATAGATCAGGAAGTGTCAAAAACCACTGGATTGAAATTTACTCCTTTGTGGAGCATCTTGCAGAGAAATTTATAAGGTAAAGTTGCTTTAGTTTTGATGTACTTTTGTACATACATACTGTAATACCTTTCAGAAGTAATACGTGAATAGTTATTTTTACAGCCCAATGTTACGGATGTCCTTCATTGTCTTCTCAACTCACGGAACAACGGTTATGAAACTCACCGACAACAGGTATCACACACATCAGCATCCAAAACAATATTAATGTTGCACAGAAATACACATATTGTTTGTCTCCATTGTAATAACTTTCCTCCATCATCTGTAATTCAGAAATGAAATTACCAGAGGCTTAAATATTTTGAAGAGAGAAATACCAGGAGGTGATACATATATGAATCTTGGATTGAAACAGGTATCTTTTGATTCTTATTGAATCAAATGAGTTCATTTAAATCAATCACTGAATCATCTTCTAGTCTTCTAATTCTACTATGGTTAAAAATGGTTAACTTGGCCGCAGAATGCATTTACTCCTGTAACACATCTGAGTACTAATCACTCTAGTCTTTTAATTCTACTTTGGTTAAAATTCCTGCATTAATGCTGTAAACATCTGCTTTTAAACTGCAGGCAAATGAGCAGATATATCACGGAAATTATGGTAACCGTCACTTTGAATTACCATGCAATTCATTCACACTTCCGCTTTTATTCTGGGAAAATCAAGCCTCAATGAGATGATGTTTATTTCACAGGGACAGCCAGTGTGATCATAGCACTGACGGATGGGGAGCTAAATGTCTATCAGTTTGTCACAGCACAACAAGAGGCAAGTACACAAGCCAGTGATGTCGCAACGGATGTGGCATGTTCTCTGGCAGATGTGTAATTGACAGTGGCATTTGCTCTGTAATAGAGCTGACTGTTTGTTGCCCATCTATGAGCAGGCGCAGAGAGCTCGGTCTTTGGGAGCCATCGTATACTGTGTGGGTGTAAAAGACTTCAATCAGACACAGGTAACTCAGCACCACTGCACAATAAATTGCTTTAGTGCCATCTCAGATTTAACCATGATTTCTGTACTAGAGATATATCTGTAAACCTGTATTGTATTACTTGTTTAGCTGGCCACAATTGCAGACACCATAGAGCATGTGTTCCCTGTAATTGGCGGATTCCAGGCCCTTGAAGGAATGATAGACTCTGTAAGTTTCTCTGTTTATCTCTCTGTCCTTGGCTACTTATAAAGTTAAAGTTTTGGTAGCAACAGCTGCATTTAAATGAGGGGCTGAATCACCTAAATGATCCCTCTGTGTGTACAAAAGACAGGAGGCACTCTCAAAATTGTGATTGTTGGCATCTTGCAGCTGTAAACAACAAACATGAATGCCATGCCAATCTTTTAACCCATATGGAGTCTGATATTTTTGTCAAAAGAAATGTATAGAATGGATGGAATAGAAGAATAGAAAGTAAAAAAAGAGTTTAAAGTCCCATTGCAAGAAGTTACATTAATGATATAGGCACATT